TACTTGAATTCCTGAACAACTTCCAGATGATCACAACAACGCGTTAGCGCAGGGGTTGGTCCCTGCCAATCTTCGAGAAGTACTTTGCATTTCGATGGAGCAAAGCATAGCCCAAAACGATAGACAGCCAGTGCTAATCGGTCCAGTGCTGTCTGGAATGTTTGGGAGCGGGCACAGATTAGGGCAATATAGTCCGCGTACTCCAAAACGAGATGTAGCTCCACACCTCCTAGGTCGTGTCCAGCGAATGCTACTTTCATGACTTCGACAATTGCGAAGTTAAATAGAAATGGTGACAGCGGGCAACCTTGTCTCACACTGCTGAAGATATTGAAGGGTGACGACAGTTTGCCATAAACCCTCATTCTGCCCGGAATATGCGTGTACAGCGCTTTGTTTACGTATTTATCAGGCGCAGCTTTCCTCAGCACGGTACCAAAGGACACATGGAAGGCACCTTTTATGTCAAGAAACACGACAACGGTGGGTCGCCAATAAACATGGCGGTGCTGCAACAATTGACGCAAGGTGAAGATGTGGTCGATGCAGCCCCAACCTCGACAAAACTTGACTTGTGCTTCATGAATCTGGCTTTCACGGGTGCCAATCTGTGGAGAATGACAGATGCAAGCAATTTAGAGGCAACTGAAAGATTGGAATGAGGTTGAGAAAAACGTGGTTTACATACATAGGAGCTCGTTCAATCAAGTTGTAGGCTGATGTAACCCAAGGTTATCATCTTTCCAAATCAATGCGGATAACCAGATTTCCGCGCAAGAGTACAAGAAGTTGGTTAGCAGTAAAGAAACAACGGAAACAATAAAACACACGGTCAGATTATAGAGTATTCCTCGTGTTTAATGAGTTGCATTTGAATATAACCGTCGCCACTGTTAACCAGCCAAAGAACCCATGACAGCGCAAGGTAGAAGCGCGCGTAACACAAAGTGGGAGAGCTGATTGTAGCTCAGAGAAAATGGAAACGACTACCAGCGAGTGAACGCTTCGGCGGATACATACGCCATATGTGAAGAAAGTAAAACAAGTCTCAGCAGCACGCTGGTAAACAGTACTGACGCTTCACTGCCGCACACCTACCAATAGTTGCGCGTGGGACACGGAAATTGCAAAGGTCGCCCGTTCTCGTACACAGGCTCGAACCCGCACAGTGAAATAATTTCGATGTCTTTCTCCGTGACACCGTCTTTTTGAATGTCAGTTTGCTCACAGTTAGATCGCAAAATTGCAGAAAAAAGGAAGAAACAGAAAACCCCATTTGCGGGTAGACTTTGGAAATTTGTGGACGATAGGTGTCAATACAGTCGAGTACGCCGAAATAACTCATCCAAATGTGTTTTGAAAAGGCCAAGCTGCGACCAAATAATTCATGCAAATTTAAGGCAGCAGCTCTGTTAAATCTAAGATTTCAAAGGGAGTAGCCCTTCTGGTTAAAGTAGTAGCTGACGTCACTTGTAACCTTACTCACGTGCTGTCTTGGACGCCTGCGACTAAATCGGCATCATGAGAGACCAGCGCTAGATCACCAACACGTCATATCAAAAGTCAATGCTAGCGAACATATGTTTTCAATAATTCCTCATCGGGCTTGTACAATTATACGTGCGGCGTACAATCTATCCTGTGGGCCGGATGTCGCAGTTCGGATGGGCCAAGTCAGTTTTGCAGTCTGAAACAGCCGTTTCTTAACACACAACTCCGGCTCGTATGGTCGAATCGCCATGGCCTCCACGGATTCAAGCAAACGTCTACGATGGCACTTTGATCAATTGGTTGGTACCCGATAGATCAACTAGAATGACTCAGCCAATTTGGAGGCGTGGCAAGTGTCGGCGAGATACGTGGCCATGGATGAATTGGTTTGTTTTCGACAAGCAGTAATGAGCCAAGCCGGATGGTGTTCCACCACCCTCGTCGTTCGACCGATATACCTTGCCCCACAGAAGCATGAGAATGAATAAATACACATATCATATCTACTGCAATCCAGATTCGGAGGCTAGCGGTTGATGGCCGCAAGCTGTTCGGAACCGGCCCATATGCTCACAAATACACTCACTATTGATGAAAAGTGTACCAAAATTACGTACAGCGTTGGTGGGACCGTGGCACGTTTCATCATGGAACCAGTCCTAGAGTCCACCACAGTCGCGACGAGTAACATGTAGCAGTCATCTCTAGGGGTAGTAACTGAGGTGGCGGAATTCGACGGAAACCAACCAGCCGGTAAACACAAAGCATGTCAGAACCACTGTAAAGGCCAAGTGGCAGAGGCAGCTTACAGATAACAAGTAGATAGGAAAGCTGTATCAAGAATCAAAGATGTGTAAAAGCTGAGGTAACTTAATACACGGCTGCTTTCTGAAATCCAATGAGACGAAGTAACGTGGCACTAATCCGATTGCAGGAGTTTGGCGACATGCCACCGGTTTCAGCCACTGGAAGTGGTCAGTCGGTTCACTTACCTAGGTAGCTGTCACATCTGGCGTTGGCTTTTTATAGGCTCAACCATCTACAGAGGCGGCGGGATATTGGTACGTTAGTGAGATGTAGGGTGTATAACACTTGGCAGTCATGAATGAAGTCACTGACGACCAAACAAGGTGCCGGAGGTCCGTTTCGCTTCCCAGGCTAGAGTCTACGCAACCTGATTTCGTTTGAGACGTTCTAGGACATGGCTCGCGGACGACACCAGTGGCGTGTCTGCCGTACTCTCCTAATTGAACTGCCTGTTTAAAGTGTATTTGGTGTTATCTGCGGGGTACTGACCGATGATGACGCGGGCCAGTGAAATTCGCAAGGAAGCTGTCTCGCTGATGCTGCCTTGTGCTTGCAGATAGTCAACTGTCGGTGATGGTATGTCGTTGACAAGGTGTAGGTATCTTGACCCTGAATGTTTGTTTGGGACATTAAGGTTTTGCGTCAGATCCCCCCTCTCACCCTCTTCCTGTTCTTCATTCCGTAGATCACTGCGGTTGTACGCAGCGAAGCATCAGTTCAAATGGCTGATGTAGTACTGTTGATGATGATGTCTAACACTGATACAAGGCCGCTGTTACTATACGGATAAGAGGCCATCAAAGGATTGACCATGCTTGCTTGAGAAGTATGGTACACACCTGGTGGGAACGCTGCTTGACAAATGCTGAAGTCCGGCAAGAAACCCTCCAGTACCCCACTGGAGTGTCCACTAAACATTAACCGGTCACGGCTGGGTCATGCCCTCTGTATACCTGTTGAATGCCCTCCTCGGTGTGCATAATGAGCTGTCTCTGCATCCAGTTGGGCGAAAGCGCGAGGTAATATCTTCATGATGTGGCATAAATGCATGAAGAAATTAGTTGAAAGACTTGGATGGACTGGTACTAACTATGGATGGAGGACCACGGGATGGACTAAGTGGTTAGAGTACCGACCTAATGAAATGGTACTCCTACATCCGATTTGTTGCACCTAGCACTTAACATTCTATTAGGAATAGCATATCCACAATTCACAACTTGAATCCACCGCAGTTCGGTGTCCGAGTCACAAGTGTCTAACTGTAGTGAACTGAACCCGGTCCAAATTTGTCCCAATTTGCCAATAAAAAGCAGTGGAACGAGACTTTCGATAATCAACCAGGAAACACTCCAAACAATCTGCGAAACACGATCTCATCCGATTTGAATACGTATGGCACAAAAGTGATCAGGTGTAGAGCATTGCCATTATCATCATACACGTTAGCTGCAGGTGGAAAAAACCTCAGCTATTGTGGCGCAATACAAAAGAAAAAACATAAAACAGAGGCACGCCGACTGAATCACCAGTAACGGATAGACATGGTTCCGGAGAGCTAACTGCCAACTATTGTACCGCAAAAAAGAGTTATATTAGGCCTAATAGATGAAGTCGTGGTTTGATGGCGAGGTTAAATGGGAGGGTCAAAAAAACAATACAAACGCCATTGATGTGCGCTCTTAGCCATGTCAACAAGCGTATCCCGTCAAACGTGTTCACCGTCCTTCGATCCCCAATCAGGGAGTCCAGAGGCTCCAACCGAGGCCAGCTTCGAATTGAGAGCCTTCATTCCTCTTGACCAAGTCATCGCTTGGCCACCCCTCCTCTTCCATCCGCACCCCCGGGGCGCGCAAACAACGCACGTCGCGGGAGTCGGTGGGCTGGTTTGCGCAACACCTGGCCCAGAAATCGGCAAGTAGAGCGAAAGGTGAGTGAGGATATAAACGATGACAAAGAAGTGCTCAGATGCAAGTTTAGCATAACAGCTGACAGATGGTATCGCTGATGCGGAGACTCGGCGTTCGCAACTTGTAGTGTATGTTACTTAAGCCTGTACGATATCATGAGGAAACGTATGTCGAAAAAGAGTTGGCATTCAGAAAGAAAATGAATCCGCCGTAACCGAAAAACACATGGAAGGGGATTCAAAATGGTCGGTGGGTGGTGTGCAGGACACATGCACACTTGCGCTTTATTGACCTAACACAGAGTTAATTCAATTGTATCGTGACCAGAGAGATGGATTGAACAGCTCACGTGTTCGTGAACTTGCATCCCCCTTCCAAATCGCTTCTAACAGAGACCGATCAGCTCATGGGTCACGTTGAGAGAGAGACAGGATTTCACTTGCGAGTGTAAATAAGGCGTGCGGAACAACCGTGCGTTGTATGATGGCACCGATAACAAAGTGTTTTGCCAAAAGTACATGGACCGAGTGCACCAACGTAAGTGACTGGATATCCGGACAGAGTCTCGGTCACCCGAAGTGCACACCTACTCCCTGTTGTTGCATAGGATTAGTGACTGCAACCAATCCTGGAAAATAAACACGGAAACAGGTACAAGATACCATGGGAACAGCGACCAGGGAGTTGCGATCCACCGCTGCAGGAGGTTGAAGGTCGTGAACTTGTGGTAACACGGAATGTGAAATGGTCACAGTGAAGAAAACCTACCTGTCAGAAAAGAACTCACTAGGTGCAGACATCAGCATATGTTTACAAAAGCGGCAATAGTGGCGCACCAATGGAATGCACAAGAACATTGGCAAAGATTCTAAACGTTTCTCGAGGATTCAAGGGTGGTGGTGGTACACGGAGAGTGGAAGCGAAAAACCGAAACATGTACAAAAGAGTTCACATGAGGCAAAGCAGCAAGACCACAGCTCGCTGGCATCTGAGAAAGGGGTAGGATGCAGATATGGTAACAGAAAAGAACGAGTCCAACGGATATCCCAGATGGCGAACGAGAGGAACATTTGCAGCGAATTTCGAGGAGCGATAAAAAGGTAGGCAAATCCAAAAGTAAAATGCATCGCGTGCGCAATAACCAATGGATAATAGCGTCAACAAATAGAGAAACAGAATGAATCACATATTGCTTCAACAGTAGCATATCGCGCGGACGCACATGAAACCCTGGTATGCCGCAAAAAAACAGTTGCCGGTGCATGACGAGTGCAACTGGTGCAGGTATTACCGGGTCGTTGTGACGACAGCGAAAGTGAATTTGTGGAGGCACATTGGAAACCTGAACAGTAGTAAACTGCTGATGGAACATGAAAGACACTGGTATCACGAAAAATGGGGGAGAAGGACACGATGTGACAGATCTGAACGGAAAAGATGATCGGACAGAGAGAGAGAGACAGCGACAATGAACAATAATGTTCGTTGAAAAGGTGACCAGAACGAAAACAAGTAACTCTCAACTGAAGCATGAACGCACAAGAAGAACAAAATGTGACAAATTAAGCGAAGGGGTGGTCATTGACGTCGATAAAGAAGGTCGTCGAGTGAGAAAGCGCGACAGTATTGCACGGAATTCACGAAGATGAGGATAAATGAGCCCTACTCTTGTCAGACAGTAAGAAACGTGGTCAAAATGAGCCGTTATGTATGCCGTTGAAGTGAACCGGAGAGAAGACCAGGGACTTGTGGTGAGGAGGTATCTGGATAAGAATTAGGCACAGATGTCGTTGCAAGTTCGCCAGAGTACGCGCCACCAGACCTTTCCGCTATGAGGCGCTCCCAAATGTCTGGAGGAACGAAGGGACGTAAAGCATAGAAAGCTGCTTGAAAGCCGCGTAGAGAATCGACTTCCGCTTTCAATCGATCAATCTCAGAGAGTAACCCGATATTCTCCGCGTGTGCAGCGGCCAGTTCATTCTGGAATGCGTTCTCAATTGCTCCTCGGATGACATTCTGTGATACGATGAAATGAGGCGAACGGAAGAAGTGTGGAAAAACGAGAAACCGGCTATCAGTAGTTCACCAGACTAGCTGAGCAAAAAGTCACAGGTTCGGATAGGAGTTCAGTGTAAAATGGTAAGTGTGAGTGCTTCCGATCTCGAGAACTGCTTCTAGACTGCACGGAGAAATAGATGGGTCAGAGTGCAAACTAGTCTGCTAATGATGATGGACGATATGCCGAACAAAGATTCATGAAAACTGGAAAAATGCAGAGATATGTCTAGCACAAGGCAAAGAAATGCGTACAAAACTGGGCGTCACGCTGAGTTGATCGGGTTAAGTTGCATGTAAAAGCCATAAATACTGCGAATTTGCAAGAAGCTACGTAGGATCGGACCGTCGAGGTGTGGATTACAAGTCAGACACCTTATCCACTCGATCATCGGTCGAAGGAGTATGAGACATCGACTCTGACAACGTCAACCAATGCAACGGAGAGCATTTCGACGGCCTAGCCCTTGTGTAACGCGGCCAGCCAGCAAGATTGCGAGTCTAAATGTAGGTGGCGGGTAACCACCGAACACAAGTCAGGAGGACTAAGAGCTGTTTCCAGTGTAAATATGAAGTGCTTACCATGCTATCGGCGATGCGTGCATCCAAACGGTCGGATCCGGCAGAAGAGCTCTTCGTGGCACCATAACCATGACAAGTCCTCCAACTGAGCAGCTTAGACGATCTTCGGGAAGAAGCAAAAGATATGATGTGAAACAATGTAGGGAGCAAACGAAATGAACTACAAACGCGCAATAAACCACCAATATTTGATGGAAAAGCATTAAATATAAATTTGCTCCAAAAAACCGCTTGGGTCGAAACTACCGACAATTCTCTGGCCGAAATTTTGACAGGAAAAAAGTGCCTTTTGAAAACGATGAAGAAAAGTCTTAGTACGCAGTATATGGCGGAGAAAACTACGCTACCGTATTGCCGTCAGTGCTAGTATTGTTGTTACTGCTGTTATTATCAGATTCATGCCTGCGTAAATAGCAGCGTTGTCATTTTCCGAGTAGCGGGGAAAGAGCAGTAAGCCAGAAATAACGAGGTAATAAAAATCGATAACTTCCTTGGAACTATCGCTAGACGCAGACAAGTAAGTAAAACAGCGAAGGACGGGCTGTAATCCTCAGAAACGATTACTGGTTCGAGAAATTTGAAAATTAATCAAAACCACAGTAACTTACCGCTGAGGAGTGGCGTGTGAAACGGTTCTTCTGGGGCTATGTACAGGCACTTTGACAACCAACGGCCACATTAACGAGGCGCGATCGGAAAGTGAGCCAGTATGAAGAGGTTCTTTGTTGACGTGCAAAAGAGCAGCTCGTTCTGACTGAGGAATTACCGGTACATAACGTAAAGACACATTAGGTGACGGCGGGGAGGATAAAGGTTGAGTAAGTAAATGATTATGAGGAGCAGCACTGTAATCTCGGGAGTTGCATACGGTTTGAGAGACGTTGTGGTAACTGCCACTTTCACTCCTGAGTCGACGAGAAACGGCGTTTTTCGCGGATTGTAAGTTGACAGCGTTTGTGTAATCCATTTGATCAAGTTGCGGCGAAACATCAGTGCAAACGTCCGTAGTTTCTGACATGGGATTCTGCAGTGAATATTGTGAGATATCCATCTTCCCACTTAGCGATAAAGACGGTGCTGTTTGAGTGAATGTTGAACCCTTGTCATCAAGCAATGCAGGGCTTGTAGGCGGAGCCATTCCAATGGCTGTACCACTTGAGGGCAATATAGCCCGAATGCAATCCAGTGGATCGATATTCGTCGGGTTGGTGTGGTGCGGAGCACGAGAAATTCGTTTGGAGAGAGGTGGGACATTTTGACTTGTGAAGTCTAAAGGCTCGGCATTTAAGTGGGTCACAACAGATAGAGCCGCAGATAGCCCATTAGCAGTAGGGATGTCACCTTGCCTAACAGAGGCGGTTGTAGAGACGGTTAAATGACTGGGAGAGTGTTGACATTCGAGGTGATGGCGGCGTAAATAGGCCGTAGCGGGATCCATAGAGGCTGATGAAGGTAAAACAGTGGGCAAAGGTGAGCTGTGGCTCAAAGTAGTGCCCTCACCATCACGTGATGCAACGGCGACTTTATCCATGTGCATAGGAGATCCCCATTCTTGAAAGGGTTGATGAAAAGTGCAATTTCGGGAATCAATCGGCTTGATGCAAGAAGGATCTCTTTTGAGTATATTGGAGCCTGCAGCGGATATGGAGTCGGCACAAGTGAAACAAATTGTCTCATGGCACCTGCTGTCCTTTTGCGGACCGGCTGCAACGATTGGTCTGGCTACTTGACATGAGACACGGCAGCCACCGTCCCAAAAAGAGAAAAGATTTAAGCCTTCAGGTGCTCTACTACCTTCGACTGACCGCGTAGTCTGTCCACCATGAAATAAAGATTGACGGTATTCGGCTTCTTCATGGTTATCGGCAAACTTTGACACAGATGGGACAAACTTCGGCTTGCGGTTCTTGAGGTCCTGATCTGCGAGGAAAAATGATGAAAACGAAAAGTCAATAAAAATTTGTGCGTGATCAAAACTCTGCGAAAGCAGCCCTGTAAGCAAAAGAATAGAGGCTGAAATGAAGAGAGTTAACAGCTGGAGTTCGACAAATGGATGTTCGCTCTTTGATGATATTTCAACGATGCGATGGAACATCGCCGTAGCTCAACCGCAGCGCCGCGTCCTGTGATTCTTTTAGCCCACAGTGAACCGGTCAGATACAGGTGCGTAGAGCTGCGAATAGGGCTTAGGTAGACACCCACATCGCCAGTCTACAGACTTCTATGAGCACAGCGAGTGAAAGTGAATAGGAGCCCGATTATAAATTCGTGTCACCTGGATAACGTATGGTTTGTGATACTTAATCCATTTACGGTGACGTCTCTAAAGAAAACTTTGTAAAATTATAATTCAAAACATTGAATTAACGTAATCGCCACAATTCTTGTAATCGAATTTCCATAAAAGACAAATCTGTTTTAATTTGAAATCATCTAATAATTCTAAGTTTGTCTTAATTAATTCAATGCTGAAATAAGATTTTAGAAAGTGTCCCTAAAAAAGGAAGGCAACAGAAAAGGAGTTAATATCAACTAGGACCACGATATGGCTTAAAATGAACCCTCATGTACAACGGATCCTACAAAACTCGCGAACAGACGGAGGCCAAAAAGATTCGCTTTTAAGTCATAGAAGGTGCTAGCTGGCTGACAAGTGGAAGAATTTCCTGAACGTTAGTTCTGCACTAAAATTTCGCTGGCCGGTTGTTAGGAGAATAGCTATTTGACCGGTTCATCGGACTGGATCGATGAGGGCATATTCTGTTCATGATAGAGACACAAGCTACAGTAGATTAACGTTATCCGTGAGAGGAACCGCTCAAGTGTTTATCTAGGGATAAGTGAACAGGGTCGGTTATGGGAAGGGCACAATGCAGGTACATGTCTGAAATAACCCGAGACACTAATGGATACAAGTTACCCATGTGATATGGCAGAGATACGAGAACCTCAGGTAGCTATGGTGTGACACGGTACTCAACTGGCGAAAGCTAGTTCGAATAGATTACGCTGTCATACGCGTCCAATTGTTCGATTCCACCGTCAGCTGGTGGTCCCTGGATGGTAAAAAGGCTTACGGAAGTGCATAGAAAGTTGCCAGTCGAGTTGTATTTTTTTAAGAGTCCACCCCAAAGCCGTAGCCATTGGAGGGAGTTTCTCAGGTAGAGCCATAAACGAACAGGCTACAAGATTCGACTAAACGTATTGGAAGGAATCTCGATCTAAAGCAAGGTCTCAATCGGCGGCACATTATCATCATCAACAGCAGCACATCAGCCATTTGAACTGATGCTTCGCTGTCATACAAACATAACGACCTACGGAAAGAGAGTAATAAGAGGGAGAGAAGGGAGACTTACTTGAAAATCTTAGTGCCCGTAAACAAAGATGTAGGGTCAAGGCGCCTACACCTTGTCAACAAAATACCATCACAAACAGCTGGCAACCGTGCAAAGATAAGGTGGCATCAGCGAGACAGCTTCGTTGCGGCTTTCCCTGCCACGCGTCATAATCGGCCATTACCGCACAGATATTACAACACCAAACACACTTTAAACAGGCAGTCCGACTAGGAGACTGCAACAGACGCGCCACTGGAGCCGAATGCTAGCCCGTCCAGTAAGGTTTCGAGCCAAGCACAAGGCGAGTCACGCGGAATGTAGCTTGAAAAGTGAGACGGACCGACGGCACCAAGTTTGGTCGTCAGTGACTTCGTTTCCCGCTGCCAAGTCAACTTCTGTCCACCTCGAGCCTTGCGCCACCCTACACCTGGCATACTGGACAAGGCCCGGGCATACAAAGTAGGTGACCAAGCCAACACAACTTATTCAGTGCCATCTGTTGTTCTAAAGAACTAGCATGAGTATCGCTGTTTAGCAATCTCCTACGCACATAATCGTTCCGGACATGCTGGTGCCACTCGACAACAACAATGCTCCGCAGACAGTGATGATCAAAGAGTAGAAGGCGCCTCAGATCTTCAGACCGAAGGGGCTGTCTCCCTCCCATAGGGTAGGACGACCCTCACTGTGGCCTTGTAAACACGGCTTTTCAAATAGACGGAGACCCCTTTCTGTCGCAGAGTAAGAAAATAAGTTCTGGCTTTTGCAATACGTGAAGTGACCTTTGTAGTTATAGACTCATCGTTGCTGATACAGCTGCCAAAGTAAGTGAATTGATCAACCACCTCGAGTTCCTCGCCATCTAGAGTCAAGGGATCATCGAGTGGCTGGTGGTCCTGCAGCAACACGTTGCACTTTGAAGATGCAAAGCGCATATCAAATAACGGAACCACTCTACACAAATCATTCAGGGTTGATTGCGCCGCCCCGACATCGTTAGAAAGCAAGACGATATCGTCCGCATACTCCACATCAACTAGCTTTTCGCCAGGTAGCACCTAAACGCCTACATCGTGAGAATGCGCAATAGAACACTCCATGATGCAATACACAAAGAAATTGGACAAAAATGGGGAAACTGGAAACCCTGACGGAAAGACATCCGATAAATCACCGTAGACCCTGACGCGGTCTGTAGTGCTCGAGTATAGAGCAGTAAAATGTTCACGCATTTCATGGGAACACCTTTCCGCGCAAGTATTTCGAACAGAAGGCATCAAGCTACTGAATCGAACGAACTCTTGACATCGAAGAACACAGTTATTGTTGGCCTGCGGTATGCGTGGCGCTGCCCTAGTACCTGCCGCAAAGTGAATATGTGGTCTATACAGTCACGTCCTGGGCGGAAACCTGGCCCACTATTCACTAACCCGGGATTCCCGTTCCGCAGTGAGGCGATGAACGAGCATGGAGGCCAATAATTTTGTCACAACAGGCGTTAGGCTAATACCCCTGTGGTTAGCACAGTCAGTGCGACTGCCCTTCGTGTACATTGCCACTATGATCGATTCACGCCAAGTAGCCAGGACGGTTTCCTCCTTCCATACATATATGAACAGTGAGGTCAGTGCTTTGCAGACGATCTCACCTCCATGCTTAAATAGTGCAGGTGATAGGGAATCCGGGCCAGCGTCACGAAAACGATTGAGGGTTGTGAGCGTGCCTCGAACCTCGGACTCCAGCGAGGCTCTAAACTAAGCGTCCATGGCCTAACCTGCATCACCTGAGCAGAAAGAGGTTCGGAAGCAAGAGGCCAACTGAACTGCCGAACAAGCCATATGGCACTCCTTATTGTGAATCAAAGTATCCATGCTGTCTCTGATTGTTTCACTGACACCTGGTTTTCTGGGACCAGTGGCACAGATCAGCTGGGAGAGTTTCCGATAGTTCCCTACTGCTCTAGCCTTCTCCATTTCTTGTGCCAGACTAGTCAATCAGGCTTCCTTGCTAGCATGCAGGCTCCGCTTTAGTTCGCGCCTAACAGGTCGTCTAGTCCCACTGTGCTCAGAGACACCTGGAAGGTTTCTTCTGGATTCCAATAGGTTCACCGACTTCTCGGATATCCAGTGGCTGGTACGGTGACGATTAGTAGTACCACAAGCAGATGCTTCTGCATCGCGCATGGCGGCTGAGATCCTATTCCAATGAACCTCAGTGTCATTAGGGCAGGGGAGCAAAAATTCGGTACGCAGTGCAGCTTGGTAGGCTTGCCTGACTGAGGGCTGAGACAACTTCTCAGTTGTCAATCGGAGACGGTTGGTGCGTCTCCCGGTAAAGTTCATGGAAAAGCGACAGCGTACCAAGGCATGATCAGAGTCGACACAAGTACTCCAGAACAAGCGCCAATGCAGGATGGAATCACGCCACCTGTGACTTATGGCACAGGACAATATAGCGTCAATTCCACTGGAGGTAGTCAGTTCTTGCATGATGGCTATCAGTAAGAGCATGTCACGCGGATGCCAGACAAGATTAAATGCAAAAGAGTTACGGTCAACGATGAGATGCTAATTGGATCTCAAGCCTGGGTCCGTCACACGAACCAAAAATCACCAACGCCATGGAATGAATCACTCGTAGACAGTACCAATTTGCCGAATGACGCAGCAGAGACTTCCAATAAGTAGACAAATACGGCAAACAGTCAGGGGCGAATGTTGCCTACTAAATCATGTCAGTCGCAAGCGTTTACTTGCTAACGTGCTTACCACTCATCGTCTTTCCTACATCTAGAGCGTTTTTTATGCGACCAAACATCAATCGTTCTGGAGTTAATTGATGAGTTTGTGATGCAGCCATACTATCCTTTTGTGTTCGCATGTGTTAAAACTATTTATTCGTACAATGCCGGAACCGGACGCGTGACAGCTGAATATTCACCTTCTTTCGTGTATAAAGTTCTTTCTTGAATTGAATTGAATCGAATCAAGTCGATGGAGTAATGGAGGAGGAACACTTTCAAAACCGATGTCCTCATCCTACACCTTAGTTGCCATCTCATGAGTGGTGTCCACGATAATCAGATGCTTGTGACTGTACGGTATTTTCTCTTTAGCCCAGAATGACTGCTTGAAATATTCGGGTCCATTATATCCCTTTCAACCCCCTATAACTTGTTGGTAGGGTCATCTCTCGTGTCGCCGTTGTACGGTAGCGAAACATTTGAAAAAGTGCTGATGCAACAGAGAAATGGAACAGAGCAAGATCAAGGCAGATTTAAGAATAGAGAGCGGATTATAAAAAATAACCGTTCGGCTAAATCCCTACCACACAGAACAAATAGCTCAAGGTATTACAGTAATATGAAACGGAACAGAACCAAGTTGTAAAGTTTAATCTGACTAAAGAATCTTTCCACCGACAATTCTAGAGTTAAGTCGCATCAAAAATGGCGTAGTATGAACCCACTCCGCAGCTAATGAGGATGTTAGTGGACAATGCACAAGCAGTCGTCTACATACAGGCAGCAGATGTCAAACAGATGAAGTTCAGGCACTTCGACCATATCTTAACCGTTCA